CCCTGCTCTGATCTAATCCTTCTCTGATCTAGGTGATTGAATTTTTTGGTGATGAAGCACCAAGAAGCCATAGCAACAAGAAACCACAGCAACGGACATGCCAGGCAGGTCATGTTCTGGATTCGCTGGCCTGATCTCTAATGAATGTCCAATCCCATTCCGCCATCCGCCATGCCTGATCGCCACGTGGGAGGAGATCACCCTCATGAACAAAGGTCCGGATGCTGGCGCTCGGATCACCTACAAGGCCTTGATTGTGGCCACAGGCCTGAGGGACCGTTGGAGCGGAAGACAAGGGCCGAAGTGATGTGGGTTTGTATGGTCAACCCAGAGCCTGGTGGAGGAGAGCGAAAAAAAGAGGTGGTTCGGAAAGTAGTGCTTCGATGACACACGACGTCCTTTTTGGAAACCGTTGCTTTGACCAAAGCCACGCCTAGCTGTGTAACGATGTGTAACGTGTTTTTTTTTCTTCGGTCTTGAGATGAGTGGAACACCTGTCGGTAGACGTTTGCTTTCACCGGTCAACCGAACCGCAGGACTGACGTGCGGACAGCTTCAGACATCTTCGGACTCCACCGGGCCACACGAAGGAGAAGTCTTCTACTTCGCCACACAATCGGGATGTAGACTGTAGACTCTTGATGACTCAAGCCCCTCCAATTGGATTGTAAAACCTCTGCAGCCTGCAGGATCTTCATGCGGGGGGTTCTTCATCAAGAGTTTAAGTTATGGTCTATGGCTAAGTAGGGGTAAAGAGTTTCCGGTTTTTGCCGCCATACCACAGCACCAACCTCCCGCCCGGTCGCATCCAACCGTTTGGACCACCCTGGGTGCCACGAGCCCGAGGTGCCAAGAGCCCGCTGATCGCACCGACGCCTGGGATGTCCCTGTCGGAGCGAGTGAAGGAGGTGCCAGGAATGGTCCAGGAGGGTCGGCTGAGGATCCGGTCCTTTTCTCAGACCAGCACCTTCCTAAAGGTCACCCAGTTGAGACTTGCATGGGTCCTAACATTTGGACCTGGGCTGTCAACATGCTTTAACCATCAGCTCAGATTGGCAAATTTGTGTGAATTGTCTGTTTTTTTTTCCGCTGATTGAGGATGAATGTCGCCGGTCTAGCTAAATCAGTTGGGGGTTTTTTGCCAAAATTCCATGTCAGTCTGCTACCCTGCACTTCACGCCAGGAAAACGAACAAAACGGCTACAAAATTCCACAATAGCCATTTGTCAAGATGAATCGCCTATCAACAAATGTTCAACAGACAGGGTTTAGATGGGTTTAGTAGATTTTAGTAGGGCATCAACACAGTTCCATGGACAGTTCCATGACACATCGAACTTCTTTGGAGGTGCAAGCCTGTGGGCAAGCGCTCAAGAATGCGAAGACGGTGATCTTCAACGGCTCCGGTCGCTGGGCCCGACGAGCTCCCGCGCGCGCTTGCCGCGACAAGATGCTGTTTGTAGTCTCGTTGGTTGTAGCGACTAGTTCACATGATGAGGTGATTTGTAATAGTTATGGTCTATCAAGAAGGAAGACAAATGAGTCCAAGTCGCTTCTTGGCCTTCATGGTACTCCACAAATGTCGATCCAGAAAACTATTGCCAAAATGAATGGCTGATAGTGTTTGGTATTTGGACTTGCCCCGTTTGCTTCAGCCGCTACAGTAGATGTTGAGCCCAAACATGCCAGAGTATTGGGAATTCCTTTTACTTCACGGCTTTGGAGTGCTCATGTAAAGGAGTTCAGGAGAAGCCGGGAATGAATGTGTGTAGTCAGAGTGACATGCTACCTGAGCTTTTGCAGTGATAAGGGGCGTTTTTGGGAACCTCCCAGCCCGAGCAGAATAAGCCTCCGATAATCCATTTCATACGATTTGGCCGATGTTCTGGAGATTCTTCAAGTCCTTCATGGCAGACTGCATCAGACTGCATGATCCTGGTCAGAAGATTAGCAATCAATAGCAATCAACTTGGTCAACTTCCCAGCAAGCTTGGTGCTTCTTCCATTTACCCCCACGTCCTCACGTTTGCGGCCGGTGCAACCTAAGAAAGCCCAGGCTTGGTGGGAGTGGAGATGTGTGGTGATTTCCGAGTGCACAATGGCTATGGCGCGAAGGTACGTGCCCTGATGCTTCAGGGACCTGTGTATTTGGATGTGTTTTGTTGCCGTGCGTGAAAGATCAAGTGTTTCTGCGCTGAAGGCTTCGATTTGGTGCAGCTGTGTGCGACGAAACCATGATGAAACGCACAGATGCACGCTATTGCTATAGTAGTAGTCCTTAAGTGGTTTGCACAATGGCCATGAGGTTCGCATGTGGATCCAACACACATCATACCAGCACCCTCCAACAGGCTGTTAGTTAAGGGTTGTTGGACCCTTGAGACAGGTCTCAAGTGGTGACCTGTTGAGTCGGGTCAACCTGCTGATGTTTGCTGCTCACTGGAAATCCTCACTCTCCTGCTCCGAGCAGGTGATCTTGCTCTCCCGCTCTGGGAAGGTCTTGGACAGCGACCCGGAAGCCCGTCCCGAGACGTGTCAAGCTGCCCTTCGGGGTGTCAACCCGAAGATGCTGCCTGTGGTATTCGGTGTTTCATTTGTGAAGATGACATGATGAGGAGGGCACATGGCAGCAGACCTTTCGCTGATGATTGGCAGAAAGCCAGGATGGCGGGATGAAACAGAGACCGTTGGCTTGTGCAATCTGATCTTCGAAAGTCCAGCGGGCGATCTGCATCATCACAACATGCCTGGGATTTCCCCATTTAAGATCATTTATATAAATTCATTTAAGCATGTTATACGGTCATCCGTGTCCATAGGATGTAATATGTCCCATCTCTCCCATTGCCAGGAATGCAAGGGGTACCCAATGGACTAGCCAGCCCACTACGTTACTGGATCTCCATTGGACACCCCTTGGATGGTCGGATGGTCTCCTTTTGAAGGGTCCGTCTCTCAGTCCTCCGTCGGCGTCCC